AAATATTTGTTGAGAAATTCACCCTTTTACAATAATTTTTGATTTTAAATTTATTTTTTAAAGTGATTATATTTGTTATAAAATAGAATTTAAGATAGCAAACACTTTAGTTATGATATATTTTTTTTGAAACTAATTTTGTAGTTAGAAAATATATTTTTTAAAATAGTCATTGATATTTCTATATATTTTTTGTGTAATTATTAATATTGTTATTAAATTATATTTTACAAAACAGTGGATGACGTTGTTTAAGTTATTATATAATAACCAAATATTTTTGTTGTTAAATTTTATTTTCTAAATTAATTTATAAAGTTAGGAAAAATCCTTTTTACCAACATTTTAAATGGTTGTTGTAACAATTTTTTTACAACAATTATAATAGTTGTATAATAAATCTTTTACCAACAGTCCAATAAGGTAGAGAAAATACATTTTTTGCAATATTAGTTAGTATTACTAAATCATATTTTACAAAACAATGAATGACGTTGTTTAAATTATTATATGACAGTCACATATAATTGTTGCTAAATCTCATTTTTTAAACTAATTTACAAAGTTAGGAAAAATCTTTTTTACCTATATTTTAAATGGTTGCTGTAACAATTTTTTTACAACAATTATAATAGTTGCATAATAAATCTTTTACCAACAACTCAACATGGTAGATAGATTTTTATATCCCATGTAACAGGCTTGTCCCCAATACTATTTAACTAAAATAATTTATGATGTAGAGAAATTCTTTTTTGGTAATAATTGCAATCGTTGTGAAAATATACTTTTAATAATAACTAATTTAGTTGCATAATTTCTTTTTTGTAACAACATTTTTTGGGTATTAAACTTACTTTATATAACAACTTATTTTTGTTGTAAAATTATACTTTAGGTAATGGCTTATGATGTTGCTATAAAATAAGTTTAGTAATAATAAATATAGTTATTAAAAGTTAATATGACAACCATTATTATGTTGTTGCTATTGTTTTTTACTTACGGACATATATCGTAGGTATTTTATTTTACTTACTATTTTTTAAATGTAGGTATATGTTTATTGATCTTTTACCTACGACATATAATACTGTAAGAATATGTACATTTACGTAATTAATTATCTATAGTTACAGGACATATAGTTACATTTTTTTCTCTGTACGTATAGGTTTTGAATGGAATATACTTATAGATTTTAACCATATACATACAAATTTGTCAGTAGCTAAATGGCAAAAATGCTTTCTGTCAAAATTAATTAAAATTAATATTTTTAAATATTATAGTGATTTATCTAAATAAAAATTACAAAATCAATCAAATTAAAAACAAACAAATGAATCCGGCCATAATCACACCCCACAATTTTGGGTGAAACCTATTTTCCAGTCATGGACCCATTAGGTGATAGATCACCAATTTATAACAATAAGGTAGGATACCCAAATCCACCCCCAAAGTATAGTGGTAGGGACGGATCCACCTTCGAACAAAAAGCGGGGACAAAGCCACTCATAAAGTTTTCGATTTAAACAAATCACCCCAAATTTAACGTGTAACGTTATTTGACATCAGCAATCTGTTAATTTGACGTCATCTGACGTCAGCAATCCGTTAACGAATTGCTGATGTCAAATGACGTCACATGTTAAATTTGAGGTGATTTGTCCATATCGAAAATTTTATGGGTGAATTTGTCCTCATTCTTTGTTCGAGGGTGAATCCGTCCCTACCACTATACTTTGGGAGTGAATTTGGGTATTTTGCCTAACAATAATAGCATCAATCAATCAGCATCACAACCCGACTCCAATTTCCAATGACCTATCAATCAGAGCTGCTGCAAACACTCTTAAAATTTTTCCACAAGGCTGAAACACCATAAAGTACAAGAACCGAATCCCAGAGGAAAAAGAAAAACAGGGACAATTAAAGAAGAAAGGAAACGGGTAGACGTAAGCCATTCGAGAAAGGGGAAAGCTTTTGAGTGAAACGAAATTCAAGGAATCAATTTTGCTTTTAGATAAAAAATGGGCAAAAATGAGGGAACCGAAACCCAGCAATAATTTATGTACCAAAAAGGTCGAGAGCTGGT